AAATTTAAACAGCTGTGCAACAATCACCACAATCCAGTTTTGGTACAGGAGAAATTTCCCCACTGCTGGTTTGCAGTCAGTCCTGGCTTCAACCTGAGTTCCAGGCATTGCTGATCTGTTTTCTGTTTCTATACTTTGGCTTTTCCAAGAAATTTAATACCAATGAAATCCTACAACATGTAGAGTTTTTTTGTCTTTCACTCATCACAATATTGAGGTTCAACCACAGTATTGTGTGCATCAGAAATTCACTCCTTTTTCCAGCTGAGTAGTATTCTATCATATGGATAGTAGTAAACTTCATTTGCTTGTTCACTAGCTGATGAGCACTGGTACTGCTCCCAGTTGTTTGCTATTGTGAATAATGACGCTATGAACATTCATACATAAGTTTTTAAAAGGACTGTTTTCAGTTCTCTTAAATAAATATCTACAAGAATTTCTGGGACACATGGTAAGTGTATGCTTACCTTTTTGAGAACCTTTGAAACTATTTTCTGAAGTGGTTATACCACCACCAGATGCTCCTACAAGCAGTGCGGGAGTTCTAGTTCTGCCATATCCTTGCCAAAAGTCGGTATGGTCACTCTTACTGATTCCACTTGTTCTTGAGGGTGTACAGCGGTACATAACTGTGGTTTTAGTTCACATTTTCCTAATGACAATGAACATCTTTTTACGTGCCTGTCATTCATATCTCTTTCATGAAATGTCTACTCAAATTTTCCCCCCATTTTTTCACTGGGTTATTTGCATTATTTCTTATTCTTGAGTTTTAAGTTCTTTCTATATTTTAAATATGTTTCTTATCAGGTAAGTGATTTGCAAATGTTTCCTCCTCATCTGTGTATGTCTTTTAGTTTTCTTAATGTTGTCTTTAGACGTGATGAAGTACAATTTATTATTTTTCTCTCATGGGTTGTACTTTTAATTTATATCTATGAAATTTTCGACTAACACTAAATCATGAAGATTTTCTCCTATGATTATCTCTCACGTTTCCGTTTATGATCCACTTTGAGTTAATGTTTTTATATAGTATAAAAATTTAAGTTAATTTTTTTGCACATGGATATCCAAGTGTTCCAGCACCATTTGTTGAAAAGATTATTCTTCTCCCTTTGAATTGCATTGGCACTTTGGCTGAAAATCAATTGGCCATAAATATGAGGGCTTATTTTTAGACCATTAATCTATGGTTCCATCATGCCAATACTATTAGTAAGTTTCCAAAGACTGTCAGGTAAATCCTCCAATTTTTGTTGCACAAGGCTATTATAGGTCTTTTGTATTCCCAAATAAATTTAAGGATGAGCTTCTCAATTCCAGAGCCTACCGGAATTTTCATAGGGATTTCCCTGAATTTATACATTAGAGGAGAACTGAGGTCCTAAGAATTCCAAGTCTTTCAATCCATTAACAGGGTACATCTCTCCATTTGTTTAGATATTCCTTCATTTATCTCATCAATGTTTTGTAGTGGTCTTCCTCTGGTTAATTCCCAGAGCTCCAAAATAGTTGTTTTTGACAACTGGGTGCACTTTGAAAAATTTTTTTTTTTTGAGAGGATTCATCAATCTCTTCATGTTAGCATAGACAGAAGTTTATCGGCTGTTTTTGGGAAAATTTTTTGCAGATGCAATGTCTTCACTAATTCCTACAACACATTATTTTTAATTATCATTGCTTTTGACAGCCCTCCCAACTAATTTGTGAGTGAGGTCAGCTAGACATCTGCAGGAAGGACAGAAAACACAGATTTTGCAAGGCCGTGTTACAACAGTTACAAGTAGTTTTAAGTAGACTTGTTCAGTATTAGAGAAATGCTAATCTTTTCATTATTACTGAATAAAAGCATGGACTCTGGAACCAGACTGCCTGTATTCAAATTCCATCTGGCCACTTCCTAGTTCTCTGATTAGGAAAGGAGTCTCATCCCCCTCTGCCTCAGTCTCCTCTCTACAAGATGGCAAGAGTAATAGGGAACACCTCACAGAGTTTTTGTGAGGCTTAAGTGATTTATATAAAGTAACTCAGAAGAGGACCTGTCCTCAGTAAATTCTAGCCAAGTATTAGTTCATTTTGCTTGTTTGGGAATGAGAATCAGGTTTTACTATTTGTACCTTGACATATCTGGCTTATAGGATGGAATAGCAGTATAGTATAGAATATGGAAACATGCTCATGACGTTTTAAGTGAAAGGCATATTAGAAAACAGAATGCATGTATGACTGCACCTACGTAATAATATTTATACAAACAAAACCTGGAAAGGAACACATAAAATTAAAATAGTTGTTTTGTGGTAATGAGATCATGGGTAACTTTTATGTAATTTTTATAATTTTGCTTTTTTGTAAAATAATAATTTAAGAACAAGATACAAAAAATACTTTTCCTTATGGGAAGCCATTTACTTTCCCTAACATACATGGCTAATTTTACTTGCAATAAGTTATCTTTTAATAAAAAGTAAAACTTAACAGGGGTGCCTGGGTGGATCAGTCAGTTAAGTGTCCAACTCTTGATTTTGGCTTAGATCACGATCTCAGGGTCATGAGATCAAACCTCACCCTGTGGGGCTCTGGGCTGGGCTTGGAGCCTGCTTAAGATTCTCTCCCTCTGCCCTTCACTCCTCCTCCACCCCCACTCATGTGTGCTCTCTCTTCTAAAAAAATAAATGAAACTCACCAGACTTCTGAAAATATCAACGAACTTTTTTTCGATTTCTTTTTTTTTTGAGAGAGAGAGAGAGCATGAGTGGTGGGTGGCGGTGTGGAGGTGTGGAGGGAGGGGCAGAGTGAGAGAGAGAGAAACCCAAGTAGGCTCCATGCCTAGCATGGCGCCTGAGTTGGGGCTTGATCTCACGACCCTGAGATCATGACCTGAGCTGAAATCAAGACTTCTACACTTAACTGATTAAGTCACCCAGGCACCCCTTTGTAATTTCCTTTTAAATTTTAATTTGTGGAGTTTAAAAATGTTGGCTAATTGAACATAATAAAAAAATGTGAATGTGAGAATCTATTCAAAGTATTAATTAAATAAATTTCAAAATTAACCTAATAGTTGTTTTCTGGCTTCTATGCCATAAGTTCTGCTGAGAAGAAATTCAGCTCTCCGCTCAGGTTCCAGACAGAAGAGCTGGTAGAGCAACGGCAAAAGTATTCTTTGGTTATCCCTCTTGGTGAAAAAACACAGTTCAAACCAAATCAGAAAATGACTGAACAGAAAGAAACAGTGAAGATGCTCAGTTAAGGTGAACTGAGAGTTAAGGAGGAAGAGAAGCAAATGCTGTAAAAGGAACAAATATAGGGAAGAGGCTTAAAAGGTAGCAGAACCCAGATCCATCTCTATTTCTCCAGGAATAAATATTTCCTTGTTATCACTTGTCATTAAATATTTACCCACCATACAAATTTGCTCTCAAAGTTCTACTAATCCTTCATCATAACTTTCAATTTAGTAAGAAAAGGTAATGTTCTACTTTTATTAACTTAGGAGACAGGTTTTTATTTTTATCCTTTGCATCTCATCAGAATCAAAAAGAGTATTGCTTACAAATTATCTCTAAATATGTATTTCTGGAAAACTCGGCAGAACTTTATGGTTACTAATGAAATAAAACCAAGGGATGAATACAAGATTTGATCTACATTCAATTTGATTATTATTTAATACAATTTTTTTGAACTATATACATTTTTTACTAGGTAATTTGTTTAGAAACTACATGCAGAGGCCTTCTAGAGTTTAATTACATTTCTTACATCAAGGTAACTCTTAACAGAATCTTAAATTCTAATAGACAGAAATAATGTTTAATTTTACAGTCATATTAGTCAAACACATGAAATAAAAATTATGTGACCTATTTGAACAAAATTCAAATACTGTTAGTTTTATTTTAGTGGAAATAACTAAGAGTTACACAATCACCTTCATATACTCTTTGTACTGTAAACAAAACATTCATACTACTTACTATCCCTGGCCACTTCCCACAGTGTCTGTGTACATCAGCTCCATAAGACTTTACAAAATGGACAAATGGAATTGTTTCTCAAACAGTTGTCAAGCAAACAAGCAAAGTCATTATTAAATGTGTAAAGAACCAAACAGTCATGAGGAAAGTAGTGAAAGATGCATGGAACATAAGGGAAAACTGAGAGACAATAAAAAGTCTCTCTTTTATGACTATTTAGTCATGGTATTTCAATCTGTTATTAGAATAACTAATAACTGAACAAAGTACTTTTACTGGAGGAAAATCCTAGAAATCATTATAAAACACAATTACCCAAATGTTCTTAATTAAATATAAATAAGACTATTAAAACATCTGGATAATATTAGGATTTTTACAACTGTTTGTTAAGAACTGACAAAAGAAATGCAGAATAATGGCAGTTCAAGAAATCTCAGCTACTAAACAGAAAAACATTCCTTTTAAGTATTTGACATTTTGTTCACAAATCTGGCTGAGTCTAAGTTTAATCTATGGTTCTGCTCTTTACTCAAGCTACAGCGGTTTAGGCAGAGCTGGTTTCCCTGGATTCCTACCTACCAATGATATTATTTCTAGCTACTCGCAGTTCTCCACCATGAATAGGACATCATAGTTGTCAAAACTTCTCCAGTTTGGCCTAAATATTCCTGTTCTTGCCAATGGCCAGCTTAACTCCAACAGCCATGAAAGAGTAAGTGCTAAGTATGAGAGGAAAGAGTGAAAAAGAGAATAGATGGAAAGTGAAATAAAGAATAGAGGCTCAAAAAATAAATGGGACAAAGAATTAAGATAAGTAAAACCCTCTCTTCGGAACTCCTATGCAGACTGGTGTAATGAAAACTTGCCTGTACCATCTACGTAATCCTGTGTATAAGGAGGAATAGTAAACCCAAACTGTGCATCAAACATAAAATTATTTCTACAATTTCTATCACAGTGCTGAACATCTAGCACATGCTCAGGGAATACACATTAGATTGTATCACTCACCTTATCAAGTTCACTTGTCAGTTTTTTATTTTCTTCAGTTAATAATACTTTTTCTCGTTCATACTGTTGTTTGAACTCATTTTCAAATTCTTCCCTTTCACTTTGACTACACAATTTGAAACATAAGGGGGGGAAAAAAAGGAATGGAATTAAAGTTAAAATAATGGTATCTCCGACTGGCTACTGTACCATATGCTTTTATTCTGAAAAGTCCCATATGTTAAATGTGCCAAATCCCAATCTTCCCCCCTAAAATTAAAAGTCACAATCATTCTCTTTTAATTAATAGACTTGTCTGCCTAACAACATCTACTTTGTTTTTCATTTGAAAATCTGAGAAGACATCTGTGATTTGTAGACTTCATTACTGTGCTCACCTTATTTGGTTGCATATGTACAAGAAAGTATGAGAAAATGAAGAGGTTAGGGAAAGAGGGGGGTACATGGGCCCCAGCATGATTCCTTATACTCAGTTCAAGATCTAGCAAACCCTCAGTGAAATTTCCAATAGTTCTCTCAATATATTTAGCCCTTCCTTTCTTCTTACCTAAGTACCTACCTACCTACGTACCTACCTACACACATATGCATACATACACAACAAATTTAATATTATAAAACTTATTTAAAATGATAGTTCTGCGAGGCACAACTGACTCACCCTTAGTGGTAAACACAGTGCTAACAGACTTTTTGGAAACCACCTAAGGGAGAAAGGGGAATCAGTTTTCAAACAGTGAGTTGAAATGCAGATGAAGAGACTTATATTCTAAACAACCAATGGGTCAATGAAGAAATCAAAGAAATAAAAAAAATATACATGGAGACAAATGAAAATGAAAACACAATGGTCCAAAATCTCTGACACAGCAAAAGCAGTTCTAAGAGGGAAATATCCAGTAATACAGGTCAATTCAAGAAATAAGAAGCCCCCCAAAACAATCTAACTTTATACCTAAATGAGAGGAAAAAAAAAAAAAGACAAATGAAATCCAAGGGGAGTAGAAGAAAGGAAATAATAAAGATCAGAGCAGACATACATGAAATAGAGATTAAAAAAAAAAGAAAAAACCCATAATGAAACCAAGAACTGGTTCTTTGAAAAGATAAACAAAACTGATAAACCCTTACCTAGACTCATCAAGAAAAAAAGACTCAAATACATAAAATCAGAAACAAAACAGAACTGATACCACAGAAATACAAAGAATAAGAGAATACTATGAAAAATGTATGCCAACAAATTTGACAAACTAGAAGAAATGGATAAATTCCCAGAAACACACTATCTTCCAAATTGAATCAGGACGAAACAAAAAAATCTGAACAGACCAATTACTAGTAACAAAATTTAATTGGTAATCAAAACTCTTCCCCAAAATAAAAGTCCAGGCCACAGCAAACATCCTCCATAATGGAGAAAAACCGAGAGCTTTTCCTGTAAGGATGTCCACTCTTACCACTTTGATTCAACATAGTACTGGAAGTTGTAGCCACAGCAATCAGACAAAGAAAAAAAGGGGGAATATGAGGATCCATACTGGTAAGGAAGTAGTTAAACTGTCACTATTTGCAGATGACATGATACTATAACTAGAAAACCCTGAAGACTCCACTAAAAAAAAACTACTGAAATAAATGAATTCAGTAAAGTTGCAGGATACAAAATTAATACCCAGAAATTGGTAGCATTTCACTAATCCACTAATTACAAAGTAGGAGAAGGAGAAATTAGGAAAACAATTGCATTTATAACCACATGAAAAAGAATAAATAAAATAGCTAGGAATAAACTTAAACAAGGTGGTGAAAGACCTGTACTCTGAAAACTATGAAAGAAATTGAAGATGATGCAAACAAATGGAAAGACAGTCTATGCACATGGACTGGAAGAATTAATATTGCTAAAATGTCCATACTAGCCAAAGCAATCTACAGATTCAGTGCAATACCCAGGAAAGTAGCAACAGCATTTTTCAAAGAACTAGAACATGTAAAACTAATATTTGTATGGCACCACAAAAGACCCCAAGCCAAAGCAGTCTTGAGGAACAAGAACAAAGCTGGAGGTGTACTACAAGATTTCAAGACATACTACAAAGCTGTAGTAATTAAAGCAGTAAGGTACTGACTCAAAAATAAACACAAGGATCAATGGAACAGAGAACCCAGAAATAAACCCACACTTATATGATGAATTAATCCATGAGAAAGAAGGCAAGAATATACAATGGGGAAAAGATAGTCTCTTCAATAAATGGTGCTGGGAAAGCTGGACAGCCACATGCAAAAGAATGAAACTGGACCACTTTCCCACACCATACACAAAAATAAAATAAAAACGGATTAAAGATCTAAATGTGAGACCTGATAAAATTCCTAGAAAAGAACACAGGCAGTAATTTCTCTGACACTGGTCATAGCAACATTTTTTTTTAGATATACCTAAGACAAGGGAAACAAAAGCAAAAATAAACTGTTGGGACTACATCAAAATAAAAAACTTGCACAGGAAACCATCATCAAAACGAAAAGGCAAACTACTGAATGGGTGAAAATATTTACAAGTGACATATCTGATAAGGGATTAATATCCAAAATATACAAAGAACGTATACAAGTCAACACCAAAAAAACCCCAAGTAATCCAATTAAAAAATGGGAAGAAGACCTGAATAGACATTTTTCTAAAGACAACATACAGACAGCCAACAGACACATGAAAAGATGCTCAACATCATTGATCATCAGGGAAATGCAAGTCAAAACCATGACAAGATATCACCTCACACTTGTCAGAATGGCTAACATAAAAAAGACAAGAAATAAGTGATGGCAAAGATGTGGGAAAAAAAGGAACCCTCGCACACTGTTGGTGGGAACACAAACCAGTGCAGGCATGGTGGAAAACAGTAGAGAGGTGCCTCAAAAAATTAAAAATAGAAATGATCCAGTTATTCCACTACTGGGTATTTACCTGAGGAAAATGAAAACACTAATTTGAAAAGATATATGCACCCTTATGTTTACTGCAGCCTTATTTACAAAGCAAAGATATGGGAGCAAGCTAAGTGTCCATCAATAGGCAAATGGATAAGGGAGATGTGGTATATACATACAAAATGGACTATTACACAGTCATAAAAAGGGATGAGATCTTGCCATTTGTGGTAACATGGATGGGCCTAAAGGGTATTAAGCTAACACACGAAAAGCAGAATCAGACCCATAAATACAGAGAACTGATGGTTGCCAGAAGGGAAGGGTAGTGGAGGATGGGAAAATGGGTGAAGCAGAGCAGGAGGTGCCAGTTATGGAATGAATAAGATATAGAAATAAAAGGCACAGCCTAGGGAATCTAGTCAATGATACTGTAATGGTGTCATACAGTCACAGATGGTAGCTACACTGGTGAGCACAGCATAACCTGTAGAGAATCACCATGCTGTACACCTGAAACTAAGGTAACACTGTGTGTCATATTCAATAAAAAAAATTTAAAGAGGTTTATATCTTAGCAGTAAATGGAATTCAATGTGGATCTCTTCTGGGTAATTTCATATGATTGATTCCAAGTCAACAAAGAACCTGAATAATGGCTGATTTTAAAAATGTAATCTTAAAAACGTCTTTTTTTAAAAAAGATTTTATTTATTTATTTGACAGAGAGAGAGAGACAGCGAGAGAGGGAACACAAGCAGAGGGAGTGGGAGTGGGAGAGGGAGAAGCAGGCCTCCCGCCAAGCAGGGAGCCCGATGCGGGGCTCAATCCCAGGACCCTGGGATCATGACCTGAGCTGAAGGAAGATGCTTAACAACTGAGCCACCCAGGCGCCCCTAATCTTAAAAACTTCTTACATCACTATATTAGTGAATATAAATGAAATTATATTTTAAATTATAAATTCTGGGGGAAAAAACCATCCTGTGTGCAGGCAAACATGGCACTTTAAAAAAAATTATCAATAGTCAAAATTTAGTTATGTTTGCACCCCAATGTTTATAGCAACAATGGCCAAAATATGGAAAGAGCCCAGATGTCCATTGATGGATGAGTGGATAAAGAAGATGTGTATATACACACACGTGCACGCGTGCACAAACACACACTGGAATATTACTCACCCATCAAAAAGAAATGGAATCTTGCCATTTGCAATGATGTGGATGGAGCTGGAATGTATTATGCTAAGCAAAATAAGTCAGTCAAAGACAAATACCATAGGATTTCACTCATATGTAGAATTTAACAAAACAGAGGATCATAGGGAAATGAAAGAAAAAATAAAGTAAGATGAAAACAGAGAGGGAGACAAACCACAAGAGACTCTTAACTATAGGAAACAGACTGAGGGTTGTGGAGGGGAGGTGGGTGGGGGAGCAGGGTAAGTGGGTGATGGACATGAAGGAGGGCACGTGATATAATGAGCACTGGGTGTTATATACAACTGATGAATCACTGAACTCTACCCGTGAAACTAATGATGCACTATATGTTAACTAACTTAAATTTAAATAGAATTTAAAAAATCATCTTTCTTGATTCAGAAGCAACTCCAAATAACAAACAATGACAAAAACTTGAAAAATTACAAAGAAGCCTTTCAGAAAAATATGTACACAAATAAACTGAGTAAAATTTCTATGTAAAACTCTTGTTTTTTCCTACTAGCACTAAACAAAGCTAAAGTCTCTTCCATATGAAAACAAAACGAACACACTCTTCCCTGAACCCTATGTCATGCTTCATTTGCCAATTCCCTGCCTTCCTGTTCACTGGGAACCATCTGGAAACCCTGACAGGGTGTGCTGTATCCATTTCCTCATCACCTATCTGTTCACCACACAAAATCTGGCTTCTGCTACGCCACCACCTCAAAAACCTGTTCTCTCACAACTGGCCACAGTCCTGTTACCACACCCAATCTACCTGCCATCTTTGACAGTGTCATCCACTTCCTCCCTCTTGAAATGCTACCTTCTCTTGGCTTCAGTGACACCATGCTCTCCGATTTCCAGTCTCCATCTCTGCCCTCTGGACTCCCCTCTTTCTGTCCTTCCCAAAAATACCAATGCTCCTGGGTATTCCATTCCAGAGCTTGACCTCTCTGCACACTTCCCCTGAGCTGGCTCATCCACCACACCACCTGAATCCAATTATCTGTTATGCTGATGAACTCTGAATTTAATCTGAAGCTTTTCTGGGCTTGCTTCAACTGCTGACTTGGTATCTCCACAAAGATGTCTCACCAAGCACCTCAAATTCAACATGCCCAACTCAGGAGAGCTCCACACATAAACAAGTTCCTTACCACCCTATTTACCTTCCTCATACACTCTACTTTCTCTTCTCTTTCTCTAGGTGAAAAGCACAGCTCAGGCCAAACCCTCCACTCATACACCTGTTCAAGTTACATGGTTTCTGCACTTTTCTCCACCTGTTGGATAATTCCTATCAGATTACAACCATGGTGTTATTTCTCCCATCTAAAAACAGAAACAAAACGCAAAACTAACTTCTTTTGAGATAAATTTCTCCTCTGGCTACTGCTTCCTTGCACTGCTTGCTTTTAAGAGATTCCCACCACTATTCTGTTTTCCAACTGCTCTCCTTCAAGTCTTGGGTCCCACTGTGGGGTTTTTGCCCCTCCTGTTCCACTGATTGTTCTTATCAAAGTTACCAATAAGCCTCATATTGTTAAAATTCAACTGTCATTGTTTGGACCTCATCTTACTTGATTCAGACCTCATCTCACGTAACATGTAGACAGATTTGATATGCTTCATCACGTGGTTTCCAGGAACCAAATCAGCCAGTCTTCTTCCTATTATTCTTGGCTGTCCACTTGGCTGTTTCTTCCTCATTTCCAAAGTCCTAAAGATTGGAGCACCTCAGGGCAGTGCTGAACCTCTTTTCTATCTCTACCAATCACTAAGTGATCTCACAGAGTCTCACTGTTTTAAATACCATGTAAGTGATAAACTACTCCCAGGATTTTATCTCTAGCCCTAAAATCCAGGCTGATCTACCCAATGACCTACTTGACATCTCCATGTGGGTGTCTAGTGGGCATCTCAAACATGTTTAAAATGAGCTCCCAGTAATACTCCTATCCCAAATGTGCTTCCCTTGCACTGTTCTCTCTAAATGGTAACTATAATCTCCTAACTGCTAAGGCCTGAAACCTCAGTATCATCCGTGATTCTTCTTCTCTTCTTCCTTTCTCCCTCCATATCTAGTCCACCAGCAGAGACCACTGTCTTTACTTTTAAGGAATATCAGATTTCCAACACGTCTTACCACCACTTCTGCCTCTACCCTAGGCCAACCCACCAACCTCTTGGGCCTGGACTACTGTGATAACCTTCTAAATTATTTCCATGCTTTTCTCTTATCTAAGTCAGACTGTTCTTAACTCAGTAGTCAGAGTGACCCTGTTAAAACACAACCCAGTATTTGTCAATTTTCCACTCAAAATCCTGCAGTACGTCCCTGCAATGGTTTTATTCAGAGCAAATAACCAGAAGTCACCTGTCACAAAGCCTTGTGTGATCTGGCCCGGGTCCCTCTTGTACTTATCTCCTACTACACTTTCCCCTTAAGTCTACCTTGGCCATATTGGCCTCCTTATTATTGTATTTAATAGACTTTATTTTTTAGAAAAGTTTTAGGTTCATAGCAGAGATTTCCCACATACCCCCTGCCCCCCTAAACACAGGTACAGCCTCCCCACCCCACCACCCCCACCAGGGTGGAGCATGTGTTTCGTCAGTGAACTTGCAGTGGACCCATCAGCATCACTCAAACTCCAAGGCTTATGTCAGGATTTGGACACATGTTCAACGACATGCACCCACCATCACAGCATCATGCAGAGTAGCTGCACTGCCCTGGACATCCTCCTAGACACCTCCACCCTCCCCCAAGCCCCGGCAAGCACTGATCCTTATACTGTCTCCCTAGTTTTGCCTTCTTGTTATTTTTTTAACAGACTGTACTCCGTGTACTCTTCTCCTACATCTGTAGAGATGCCTCCCTACTTTCTTTAGCCCTTACTTCAATTACCTTCTCAGCATAATTTCCCCAGACCAGTCTATACAGACAATTTAATTGCCCCCTCAATGCTTCATGGCCCTGTCTTGTGCAGTATTTTTTGTTCTTGGCATTTATCATTACCTAATATATTCTATATTTTACTTATTTTGTTTGTAGACTTTCACCTAACTAAAGGAAAGCTCCATAAGGACAGAGATTTTTTTTGTCTATCCACTGCTACGTTCCCAGGGCCTATAACAGTGTTTTACCCACCATAGGTCCTAAAAAAATTTTGTTGAATGAATGGACCAAACTAAATAAATTTTGGCTTCCAATATAAGTTGAGAATGACAATAGCATACATTCAGCTGCCTAAAAACAGGATCCCGGGTCCCAGCAGCAATTTCTCACATCTGGCCATTACGGCACCCAGGTTCTGGGTCTCTGGGACCTTCCGAGCCCACATGCTTCCCTCCACCTTCGCGGTCAGCACCTACGGTCCTGCTCATTTCCCACAGCCAGGTTCCTACCTGCCATCTGCCCCCCTCAGTCCCACTCCACACAGAAACAAGAGTGATCTTTCAAAACCACGAGTACCACCCTGTCACCTGCCTCCAAGGGCCTCAGGATGACGCCCAAGCTCCTTCATGATCTTGCCTCTACTTCCCTCTGCAGACCCACTTCTCACCCTCTCATCTGGCTTTCTATGGCTTCACCATCAGGAACAGCCTAGTCTTCTGAATGTGCCATGCTCCCCTCTTTTCCTCTCCATCCTAGCACATCCTGCTATGTCTATCTGGACACTCTTCCATAGTTAGATAATTTATTTCTTTGGTCTTAACTTAGACATAATTTTGTCCAAAAAACCCAGACATACCGAAGTTATCCTTTGTGCCTCGTCTACGGGAACTCCTGCATTTTGCCTGCACTTATACTATCCCGTGTGCTTACCTGTCATGCTGTAGTATAATTTCCTATTTACTGATCTTGGCTTTGGGCTCCTTAGGACTGGGATACGTGGACTGCCCATGTATCTCCAGCCCCTGACACACAACAGGCATTCAGGAAATATTTATTAAAGAGTAAATAACTTGATTCTTACCTCTCTCTCCTGTTTTTTTCCAATTTGTCTTTCAAAATCATAATTTCCTTGTTGAGAGCAAGTTGCTGGCCTTCTGAATCATGAAGTTCTTTCTTCAGATTTTTAATTTCATTTGCATGTATTCCTTCTCTTTTAGACAATTCTTCTTCATAAAAGATACTTTTCTTTTCTAAATCAGTCTTTAGTTTGGTTATCTCTTGCTGATGTTCTATGCTGCATAGTCCTGGCGAGTAACTAATTTGTTTTTGCTACAGAAGTAATAACAAAAAATTGGTTCATCTATAAGAATAAAATATCAAATAACTTCTTTTTATAATATAAAGAACTGTTCATATAGCTGAATACTATTTTTGTATATTATCACATAAACAATATTTCTTTATTAAGGCTATTCACCTTTTGTCGGCCACATGTTGCAAATACTTTTCTCAGTACATAATCCCTTATTGTGTTGTGTTTTATAGCCTTCTTTACACCAAGATTATATATTTATCTGTAATTTCTGCTCATAGTTATATAATTATTTGTTTATATTTAAATTTCTAATGTAGACACAATTATTGTTGGTATATGGAGTGAGAGAAAAATCTAACTGCAACCTATTTCTGATGTGAAACCAATAAAGGATTATAAGTATGCTTGTGTCTTTAGAAGATTAAATGGGGGTAGGGAATGACAGTACAAAAAGGAAAGAGAGGGGGCTTCTCCAATGGTCTAGGGAGAAAGAGAAAGGTCTAATCAAACATTTTCACATCTATTAGAAAAAAATGATAGGTTTCTTGACATTTAGGTAGGGCATTAGACACAAGAAATTTAGTTGAAAGCCAACTTCTTAGAAACTTGGATGAAATATATTCTCAGTAATAAGGTGCAAGGAAAACACAAAGTCCAAAGCTTCTTCCATACTGTGGCTAAAGGGTGAAAAGAAACATACAGAGATTATGCCTGTAAGACATCCTGAGCTTTGGAAATTTTCCATTACTTTGCTATATGCTATTTTCCCAGGTGGTCAAGGATAAATTTTTAAAACCTAAAGAACCTGGATTTATGTTTAGTGATACAAGGAATCATGCCCTGGAGGACACTGTGTTCTTTTTTGACAACAGTAATAAGGGCTGAAAACTGTTAACAGAAGTTGATTTAAAGCTGAAAGAAAACTATGCTCACTTCTTCACATTTGAGGTACATACTTAAAAAAAAAAAAAAAAAAAAGAACCCAGAGACACCAACTGGGCTGGAGAACTGTCTCTGGGGTATCCACTGAACTATTTAACCATTTACTAAAGCACTACTGATGGCATACCTCCTGCACGCAAGACTCAGACCATCCAGCATTTTGGGGGCAGCCTGTCTTGCAATGCTTGGCCGAACCAGGAAGAGCCACAGCCAGTCCGACTCTGGCTCCGTGTGTCTCCACAAAAATGAGGCCTAAATCAACATCAGTAGTCCTGACCACTTACCTATATGGCTCTTTCACTTTTTTCATCACCTACAAAACAATCTTAGTTTGCTGTTCTGGTTTGTATAGTTTGGCTGTTGGGATAGCAGCAGCATGCACTGACATTTCAAGCAAAAGTTACCCTGATATCAAAACCTAACAAAGATACCATCAGAACAAGTCATAGACTCAAGTTACTTGTTGATAAGGATGTAAAAAGAGTCAAAATGTTGATAAAATCAAACCATATGTAAAAAAGAACACTCTACCCCAAAGAATAGATCTTACTGCAGCTATTGAAGGTAATTTAATACTAGTAAACTTGTTAATAAATGTACAAAGATGGCATTACTTTAATGTATTAAATTAAAATAAATCCATATGATACTCTCACTAGGTATCCATGTCCAAAAGTATTTGAGAAAATCCAATACCCATTCCAAATACTACTCCAAATCCCACAATAAAACAAAACAAAAAATAGTAAAATGATTCTCCTTTACCCATTTTCCAGCTAGGAGACAAAATAATACCTATTGGTGAAGCACCAGAAATACACACGAGAGATTAAGGAATAATCACAAAAAGGGTGTCTGCCATTATTTCTTACTTAGTATTAGTTTTTAGATATTCTGTCTGAGCAAGTAACATGTGCAATAATTATAAGAAATGAATATTATGAAGAAAAGTGATAAAACCATTATAATTTCCATAGAATTGTTTGCCCACGAAATGTAAATAAATCCACTAAAAATGTTACACCTGATAAAGCTGCGTAAAGCAACTGCAGGTAAGATAAACACAAATCAACAATACTCCTGGGGAGTAGAATGAGCAATAATAAAACGCAGTAAAAAATTTCATCGTTAATAGCAAAAATAATCAAAGAAAAATTATCAGAAACTAATACATGCACGTGAGGAATAACAATAGTAACTTGTCTGAATTATATGAAGAAAGGACAAATCTTTATAAAAGACATAAAAGAAGACTTGAAACAATATAGAAAAATACCTACTACTTGAAAGATTAAATGTATAGCTATTTAATATTTCTCAAGTTATATTCCTTGTAAATATAAAAAACAAATATAGGAGATGGCACACAGGTGTTCCTTGTAAAATACACTTGTAAAAATGCCAAAGAAAATCCTGGCGGAAAAAAGGAGAAAAGAGGAAGAGAGAAGAATGTTCTTTTCAGCTTTTAAAACATACTATACAAATCTTTAATAAAATCTCAGTGTAATAGAGCTCTATATCAAAATAATTTTATACAATATACGAGATGTCCTTAATCACCAGGGCAGGCAGTGATTAACTAATTGGAACCACCAATTTAACAACAAAAGAACAAAATGATTCTCACAACATCCTATCTAGCAAAACAAATTCCAGGTAACTTAGATTTAAATATATTTAGAAGTTTTTTCCCCACACTTCTCAATAGTTTAATAAACTGATAACTATTTAGGGGTTGTTAGACTGTATATATGATGTTTGTTAAACCGAGCACAATTCTAAGTAAGCACTGATAGGCTTTGGTAGGGAGAACTAAGTACATGGACAGTTGATGAACAAGATGACCATTATACTGTATTATTAAAAAATAACTTATCTCCTATGGTGTAGTTTATAAATATCTGAAAGAAATCACAGGACAATTTCACAACATTCTCAAAAGGGAGGTTATGTGGTTGAAATTTTTTCAAGAGACAGAATTTTGTACATTCAGAAAAATAAATCATCTTTGTTCATCCATTGTTAGACACTGCTTTAGCTAATGAATACTGAGTCATGATAATTAAATTTCTTGGAAAATAAAGGATATAAACCATGAAAAAAAATAAATACATTTAGAAGTACACAGAAGTATATTTGACTAGAATTAAATATTTTTAAACCCAAGAGAAACATCCAGGAAAAGGCAGAATTACATACTTAACAAACTCTGAGAAAAGGACAAGCTAAGCTTTGAAGCAATAAAAGAAACACTGAGGAAAATAAGAACAAACCTCCTGTGATTTGAAAAGGAAACAAGACCAAAATTAAAGGTCAAAAGATAAATGAACAAATAGTTGTAGAAAAATGGAAGAAAAAGCATCATTTTCGCTATCGAAGAGTTTATATGAATTATAAGAGAAATATTCAGACTCTAAAATTAAAAAGACAAATAACTTAAAGGAATAATTCACAAAGAAAAATATGATTAATAAACAATCTACTAATAAGGCAAGAAATGCCTCTTAGACTTGCAACAATTTGTGGCCCGCATCTAGTGCCTTAAAGTGATCTGACAATTTCATTTCTAGGTATCTGTTCTAAGAAATAATATCAAAAAGGCAATGCACAAAAGTGTTCATTGTAATGACAGTGTTGCAAAAGTGAAACATAAATATTCAATAGTAGAGAACTGGATTAAGTGGGTATCCTTCTAATATCATTAAAATTATGTGATAGTGGGACGCCTGGGTGGCTCAGTCATTAAGCGTCTGCCTTCGGCTCAGGTCATGATCCCAGGGTCCTGGGATCGAGCCCCACATCGGGCTCCCTGCTTGGCTTCTCCCTCTCCCACTCCCCCTGCTTGTGTTCCCTCTCTCGCTGTGTCTCTCTCTGTCAAATAAATAAAAAAATCTTAAAAAAAAATAAAATTATGTGATAGTTATGTAATGAACATAAATGCTTGTCTCACACTTTCAAATGAAAAATACACATGTTAAGGGTGATTTATGTCCCTCCAAAATTCATGTTAAAGCATTAACCACCAATACTTCAGAATGTGTATTTTAAAATATGGTCTCAAATGCAGCATGATCTGACTTATATGTGGAATCTAAAAAAGTCAAACTCTGAGGAGCAGAGGGTAAAATGGTAGTTGCCAAGTGGGGAGTGGAGGAAATGGGAGAACGCTGGTGCAAGGGTACAAAAACTTCACACAGGTAGGATGAGTAAGTTCTGGAGATATAAGGTAAAGCAGGGCGACTAAAGTTAACAATACTGTATTATGTACTTGAAATTTCTAAGAGGGTGGATCTTAATTCTTCTCAGGCAAAAAAAAAAAAAAGATAACTAAGTGAGGGTATGAGGGTATGTTAATTAGCTTCTTGTGGTACGTATTTCACAACGTACACATATATCTAGACATCACAATTTATACCTTAAATATATACATTTTTTGTCAGTTATATCTCAATAAGACTGGAAAAAAAGAAAATAAAAGTAGGGTCTTTACAGAGCTAATTGACTTAAAATGAGGTCATTAGGGTGGGCCCAATAGAACTGTGTCCTTATAAAAAGAAGAAATTTGGACTCACGGTCTTGCACACAGGAAGAAGGCAGAGATTCAGGTGATACATAAGCCAAGGAATGCAAACCATGAGAAGCCAACCCTGCCAACACTTTGATTTCAGACATCTAGTTGCAATGATTGAGACAATAAATTCCAGTTTCTTAGGCCACCCAGTTTGTGGTAATTTGTAGCAGCCCCAGCAAACTAATACAACAGGGTAAAAAGCTCTTGTAGTACATGATGACAAGAACTGAAAAGTATTTTTTTTAAAACAGCCTTATTGAGATACTATTCACATACCGTATTATTCACCCATTTAAAGTATATAATTCAATGGTTTACGGTTAATTTTAAGTAGTAAAATATATATACCATAAAGTTGTGCCATTTTAACCATTTTAAGGGTAGAATTCGTTTTAAGTGTAGAATTCAGCTATTAATTACATTCAGAATGTTGTGCAACTATGACCACTATGTATTTCCAAAACTTTTTCATTATCCCAAAGAGAAATTCTCTAAACATTC